TGACTCCTTTGTTTGAACTTCAAAGTTTCTTTGTAGCTGTGGTCTTTTCATTAGAAATGTGTAGAAATCCTCTATTTCATTTAAGGTCCTTTTCCCTTATAGTAATATACTTGGGCTTGCTGGGCAAGTTATTCTTTCTTTTTTTTAATCAGATTACTTGTAAGTCATTTTATTGTTAATGTTTTTAAACACAAAGCTGTCTGTTTCCAGTTGAAAAGGCAACTAGACCAGATCCAAGAGAAGGTGGCAGCTGCTGCTACTGCTGCTGCTGCTGCAGCGGCATCCACCACCACATCAACCCAAGAAGAACCAGAAGCAGAGCCCAAAAAGGAAACCGAGAGTCAAGCTGACAACAACCTGGGTGAACTAGAGAAACACCTTCAGGAAAAGGCACGGAGGCGGATGAGAAACGTACAGGTGTCCCCACGGTTCCAGATGGGGCCATTTGTTATAATGAACATTTGGTTGGGTTTGTCCTCAGATTCCATTTCACAGTTGTTAAAATGTGGTTGAGCTTTAGGCTGTAACATTTGTTGTCATAATTGCTAGGTTCAGGATCGAGTAAAAAAGTGGGCAAGTTATTCTTGATTGTAAATCTGTTTCCTTTATCTTCTGGAATGACATGTTACAAGCATGCTGCTCCTTTATAATGGTAACTGATAAATCTAGTGCAATCCTGACTATAGCTCTTTGGCATTTTAATTCTTCTTTTCTTGCTACTTGCAGCATTTTTCCCCTTTCAGTTGGAAGCTCTGGGTTTTGGCTATAATGCTCCTGAGATTTTTCATTTTGGCATTTTTTCCTTAGGAGGTGACTGGTGGATTCTGTTTCTATTTTGCTCTCTGGTTCTAAGATCTGGGCAATTTTATTTTATGATTTCTTGAATATAATGTCTAGGTTCTTTTTTTGGTCACGACTATCAGGTAGTCTAATGATTCTTAAATTTTTTTCTCCTTGATGTGCTTTCCAAGAGAGTTGTTTTTGCTTTAAGACAACTTAAATTTTCTTGTATTTTTTTCAGTTTTTGTTTAATAGTTCTTGTTGCTTCATGGAGTCATTGGCTTCTATTTATTCTATTCTATTTCTTAGGCAAGGTTTTGTACCTCTTGTGCTGAGCTGTTAATTCCCTTTCCAATTTTTTTTTCCATAACTCATTTCCTATCCATTTTTTCACTCTAGAACCCTCATTTCATTTATAAAAACATATCAAACTTAAAAAAAACCTGTTCATTTCTTCCAGGAATTCTAGTTGAATTTGTGCTCGTGCTGTGTTTTTCTTTAAGGCCTTGTTCATCTTCTGGGTTTGTATCTTGATATTCCTGTCACCATAAAAAAAATTTATGGTGAGATTATTATTATTTTTTTGCTTTTTCGTTCTTCCAGCTTTCTTCTTGAACGTGAACGTGATGTTAGGGCTAGGCTTTGCAGCATGTCTGGAGGGAAGAACTGGGCTTATCCTATTGCTACTTTTTTGGAGGGGTCTTGAGTTTTCTGTTATTCTAGAAACTCAGGGGCTGGCAGCTGAACTCTCTGTTCTTGGATTCCAAGCCCCACATGTACTGTTTACTCCTGAACTTACTCCTCTCCTGATGCACAGCCCAGCACCCACAACCATTCCTCACCCTAGAATCCTACTTCCAGGCACATGCTCCTGCCCCGCACCCCCAGTCCAATCTGGATCTATGACCTAGAACTGGGTTTACAAGTTTACATGTCTTATATATCATGAGCCTTTTATTGGCCTGTCTCCTCGTGCTGGAATCCTCAGCATGTGGCATACTCCTGGCCAGACTTCATCCTCATTGTCCTTGGATCTCTGTGTCAGTCTCATTTTACTTACCTGGGCTTGAAAAATGATGGTGATCTTTTTTCTTAAGATTCCTTTATCAGGATTCAGTCTGGTATTCTTAATATATGTGTTTGTAGTATTTTTTTGGGGGGAGAACTCATTGTACTTGCTATTCTGTCATCTTGGTTTTTCCTCCATCTCCCTGGATATACAGAATTCTTGTACAGAAAGGGCAGAAACCTTCAGATCTATGCACTCAATAAGGAAGGTTAGGAAAGGGTCAGTTAGAAGTATATTGAAAAGTAGTCCTTGAATCAAGTAAATCCTCCTGAAAGCTAGATCCAAGAAACCTCTGGATTGGCTAGCCCTCCTCCACCTTGGTATAACACCAATTTATTAGACACAGCCTCTGGTATGTAGGATGCCTAATACCAGTAATCAGGGGGTTGATGACAAGGCTACTGTTTTTAAAATCCATTCCAGCATGTCATACTACTAGGATTCTAAGAATAGTATGGAAGATGGAAGACTCAATAAATATGATGGTATTGGGCCTAATCTTAGACCTTCATTGCAGTAAAAAAGGCATCCTTCTACAAGGTACAATGTGGTCTACATGGGAAAAGGACATGTCCCATGGGGGCCTTGAAAATAGACTTAATTAATTGGTGTTATAGTCCCATACCATGATTAGGTATCAGCTGAAGTTAGATCAAATCTTTTGTTGTTTGCTAGAAGAGGAAAGCCAACATAATCACTTTGCCAAAAGAATTGTAAGGGATCATGCTATACCGATCCCTCAAAAGTTAGATGCCCTGATTACTACAAAGAGCTTCATTAAACAGGTATATTCATCTCATCCTTGGTTAAGCTGCTCATGCATTCCCAACCCCACTGAAACAGCATTATGGTCCCTTTGTCCAAACTGATGATGCACCCAGTCTCCTGTCTCTACTCTTTCTGTGAGAACATTACCCTGGCTTTTCAGTGTGGCAGTGGGCATATGATGCTTCCAATAGACACTAATATAACCTGCCAACAACTGTATGCAATTTTTTTTTATTTTTTAAAAATTTATTTATTTATTTTTAGTTTTCAGCATTCACCTTCCACAAGATTTTGAGTTCCAAATTTTCTCCCATCTCTCCCCTCCCCTCACGCCAAGAGGTCATGCATTCTGAATACCCCTTTCCCCAATCTCCCCTCCCTTCTATTACCCCCCCTTCTCTTATACCGTATCAAGAGTTACAGGTACCATCTTCCTGTGTAGAGATGTAAACAGTTTAACCTTGCTGAATGACATGTTTCTACCCTGTTCACCTTTTTATTCTTCTCTTGAGTTTTGGGTTTAAAGATCAAATTTTCTGTTCAGCTCTGGTCTTTTCATCAGGAAAGTTTGAAAGTCCCCTATTTCATTGAATGTCCATCTTTTCCCCTGAAAAATTGTGATTGCTTTTGCTGGGTAGTTGGTTCTTGGTTGTAATCCAAGCTCCTTTGCCTTCCGGAATATCATATTTGAGGCCTTCAGTTCTTTAATGTTGAAACTGCTAAATCCTGTGTAATCTTGACTGTGACTTCTTGATATTTGAATTGGTGTTTTGTTGTTGGTTTTTTTTTTTTTCTGGCTGCTTGCAGTATTTTCTCGTTGCTTTGATAATACTAGAGTTCAGCTACAATATTCCTTGGAGTTTTCATTTTGGGATCTCTTTCAGGAGGTGATTGGTAGATTCTTTCAATGATTATTTTACCTTCTGGTTCTAAGATATCAGGGCAATTTTCTTTGATAAATTCTTGAAAAATGCTGTCCAGGTTCTTTTTTCGATCATGACTTTCAAGTAGTCCAGTAACTCTTAAATTAACTCTCCTGGATATATTTTCCAGGTCAGTTATTTTTCCAGTAAGATATTTTATGTTTTCTTCTTTTTTTTCCATTCTTTTGATTTTGTTTGACTGATTCTTGATGTCTCATAGAGTCATTAGCTTCCACTTACCAAATTCTAATTTGTAAGGTATTATTTTCTTCATTTACCTTTTGTAACTCCTTTTCCATTTGGGCAGTCCTACTTTTTAAAGAGTTGTTTCCTTCAGTGGATTTTTTTTTCCATTTGTCCAGTTGTATTTTCTAAGGAGTTGTTTTCTTCAGTCAACTGTTGTCCTTCCTTTTCTATACCCTTGACTCTCTCTTGCATAACTCTCATTTCTTTTCCCAATGTTTTCTTCTACTTCTCCTTTTTGAGCTGTTCCAAGAAGGTTTTTTGGTCTTGAGACTGTTCATCTTCCTCTTTAAGACTTTGCATGTAGGCATTTTGACATTGTTGTCCTCTTTGGAGTTTGTGTTTTGATTTTCACTGTCACTATAGTGGCTTTCTATGGTCAGGGCTCTTTTCAGTTTTTTACTCATTTTTTTCAACCTATTTCATGACTTTTAAAGTTGAGTTCTTTTCCTAGGGCACAGGGGCCATGGTCCCAAGCTTCTTGTGCTGGGGGCTAGGGGCCTGTTCACTGGCTTTCTGCACTAAGGCTTTGGGAGCTGGTGACTTGCCCACCATATTGGGGTGGCCTTGTCTAGTTGCACTTACAGTGCTGGGGATTCCCAGGCTGGCAGTTCACCTTCTGTGCTGGGGCTGGAGGCTTCATAGCTGTCCAGCTGTGCCACTGGCCTGCTGAGCCAGGATCAATGGGCCTTTGTTGCTGATCTGTGCTGTGGCTAAAAGCCTCCTGCTGCTTTACCCTGACACTGTCTGTGCTAGGTTGTGCTCCCCTTTTACTCAAGTGATTCAGACCTTTCCTGAAGTCCTTCTAAATAATCTTAAGCTAGAAAATGGTTTCACTCTGTCTTTTTGTAGGTTCTATTGTTCCAGAATCTGTTTAGAGGCTTTATTTAATGTTGTTTCCAAGGGAAACTGGGGAACTCAGGCAACTTCCTGGCTTTTCTCTGACATCTTGGCCCCACCTCTGTTCTTCGCTGTTGAATGAGAACTCTGAAGACTAGTGGTATCAAAATAAAATATGTCCCTGTAGGCTGCATATTGACTTAGAAAACTACATATTAACATCTTTTTTTTGCATTTTTATTTATTTTGTTAAATATTTCCCAAGTTCATTATAATTCCCATGCAGCAGGGCCATGTGATTGATACCTCTGCTGTAGAATAATTCTTTTTCAGTGTTAGTCAAGCAGGCATAGTAACTATTTCTTGTTAAATTTTAGGGATAGGTATTCAGTGGAAACATGTGTTGAAGATTTCCAAGTCTGAGAAATTCGGCTTTGGGGAGGTGCTGATAATGCTGCTAATTGACAGTATCTTATATGGCTTGGTGACCTGGTATGTGGAGACTGTCTTTCCAGGGAAATATGGTATACCTCAGCCTTGGTACTTCTTCGTGATGGTGAGTTCTGATGTTGGAATCCTTCAGAGTAGCCAAAGCCCTTTCATTACCAAACATCATGATTCTTACCTCTTCTCATAATGTCCTTAAATCAGCCAATACAGATATAGACAGATAAAAAGAATTTTTCCCCAAAGAAGTGCTTATCTTTCTAGCTCAGAGATTTGGGTTCGAGAGTAAAGCCAGGTCTTAATCACAGTTTTTTAGAAGAAGCCCTCCCTTCAAGTGGAAAGTTCCACCAGGGGCACCCAAAAAAAGAGAGGTTTCCCTAACAGAATTCGGGGAACCAGGCTCCCTCCTCCAATCCTGGTGGGACCTCTAAAACTGTCTGAGGTGTATACTCTGAACAAAATCAGTTTATTAGCAGTGACCATTTTGTTAAAAGTTTAGTAACTGTTAACAAAGCAGGTCAGACTGGCCACCTCAATAAAGCCAGTGACCCCAGTAAGAAGGGGGAAATCCTCTTTATTGACACACAAGAAAGAAGGGGTCTTGGTAGTAGTGGAACATTATGATTGGCTATAGTAAGAAAGGTGGGCCAATCACGAATCTCTCTGACAAATAAGGAATGTTAATTGTTTTATGGGACCCTTGTGCATCTTATAATCTTTGCTAGAGGATCAAAACTAACAGACTTGCTATCTCCTTGGAAAAGATAAAATCTCCCCTAACTGTACAAGGACAGGCAAGGACAGGTGACATATCTTTTAAGGATGGCACCATGTTAACTTATGGGGCTTAAAGATAACAAACAGATATCCTGGAAGTGTTCCAGAGGCTACCAGCATGAAAAATAACAACTTTTAATTAACCTTTAGAGTAACTTGGAGAGAAAGCTAAATTCCTGAGCTTACCTCAAGGACATAAAAAGGTGGCTTTAGGCAGATACAGACTCAATTATAAAAATCAACATAGCATAAAATCAATTACATTGTAGATGTACAATGCAGTAGAAATTTGGCCTGCTAATCGAAACTGCATCCTGCATCACGGAGCCCTTGAGCAAAGAGTTTGTACACTCTACCTTCTAAAAGTCTGTTCCTAAGGTTTTCCTTTCCTATCTTCTCCAGAAATCAGTGTCTTTTGGCAGAAGCTGGCCTGTTCTCTGAACCCATTCTTCCTTTCTAAAGATAGCCTGGATTCTCTAGAGGGGAGGATGACACATGTCCTGTACTTTTTGCTTTGTATTGTTACAATAAAAATCCACAATGAAGAGAAACTGGGGCACAAAGTTCTGAGCTTAATCAGTTTATTAGCAAAGCTAGCAATTGCCGGCAAAGTCAGATCCCAAGCCCTTCAGTGGACACTGATGCATTTGACAATCAGAGCATCTTTTTTTTAACATAAGGCCCACTGGTGCAAACCAGCTGAGACTGTGACTGGTGTATAACAGAGGCAATTGGTGGGCTGTACATTTTGCTTAATCACATTGACTTGCAAGAGTTTCCAGAATCCATAGCAGTGGGGAAAGCATAGAGTTGAACAACATCCTCTGGAAAGTCCTGTGTCAGATACTATTTAATAGCAGAGAGACCCAGTGCAAGGGAAAACATCTGACCAGGTTAACTCATCTTCCCTCTGTCTTCCTTATCTCCCTCATGAGATAGGACCAGTTTGTAGCTCTGAAAATTAGGAAACCTAAACTCCTCACAACAGAGTCACCATAAGATGTGATATGGGATGATGACTACAGTTATTTAAACAAAAATAACCCTTGAAATTGGAAAGAGTTCTCCTCACTGAGTGTTCTTCTTTTCCAAGCAAAACTGATCTGTATGTTTTCTCAGCAAAGAGAGAATACAGGAGAAGGAAGACATAACCAAAGTATGAGATTGAAACAGTGCAAATGAAAGGGGAAGGTCTTAATAGGGTGGGTGTCCTGTTGAAATAGCACTCCTTTTAGAATAGATGTATGTGCCTAAAATCAGAGATGAAGACCTGACAATATGTCTAATGGGGGGAGGGGCACTTGGTACACAGGTTGGTGCACTTTCTCTGAGAGTGTTGTGGTTTCTTGCACACCATCCTGCCTCCATAGAAGGGATATCAGAGATTATGTTAGTAACTATCCAGAAGAGCAGAGACATGGACCCAGATTGGAGTTTTCATGGTACAAAGAGAGAAGAATGATGATGAGAATGGAAGACGGTAGAATTGGATTGTGCAATTTGAGACACAAGCTAATTTCTAAGATGGGACAATGCTTCTATCCTCATTACTACCCTGATGAAGTGACACTTCTTAGAATGAGGCACAGCACAAAAAGGATGATGTGACAAGATCTACGAAGGCAATAACATAGAAATCGATTAGAAGAAGTAACTCACATTTGATACTATAGAAGTTTTGATCTGGTGAACGACACAAAGAAATTAAAGAAAAAATCAATATATAGACCTTGAATCAGAGAGTAAAAGTTCATAATAGAAATGATTGTTGCATTATTTATGTTTGTTTCCCCATTGGCTAGCACAGTGTGTGGCACATAGTAGATATTTAATAAATGCTACTTTATTGACTAGTCTGCTTAGGATTTCTTATAGAAGTGAATATTCTTTGGCACAGGCCATCTGGTTCCTTGAGATTTGTGATCTCTGGAAGACATGAGATCTTTGCTAGAGAGATGCTCTGCTGCCAATGACAGCCCTACCACCATTCCAGCAGAGTAGGAGAGTTGAAAATTTCAGTAAAGGTAGTTCTTATGTCTCCATAGCTGCAAAGAATTGCTTCTGTCTGCTCTGTTCTGTGTGATTCAAGAATGCTTTATAGCTGGTAAGATAGGAAAAACTCCTGTGACCATTCATCTCTCCTGTCTTCTTTGATATGGGAGAAATGGAAATGATGGCAGAACTTAAGCATTTAGCTCTTCTTTTCCTCCCTACTTATAATGAAAAGAACATAGTATTATCCACTTTGGTAATATAATTTCACTGTTGTAAGAGGAGATTACGCAGTGTAGGTAACTTGTACTCATATTTCGGCAAAGCATTGTTACCTTACTATTGGTCATCCTCTGGGACATGGAACTAGTATTGTTATAGAGAATGCTTCATTGTTATGGCCACTTAATTTTAAAATTATTTTCAAAGCGAGTTTTTGTTGATGTATTTGTTTTTATTACATTCCCACAATTTCTCCCACTATCCATCCAACTCTTCCTCCTCGGAAGCTATCCCATATAACAAATAGTACTTTAAAGACAGAAAAAAGAAAAAGAGGAAAAAAATAAACAATACAGATCAATACATAGAAAAAAAGTTTAAAAATATGTGCAATGTATAACACTTGTGGACTTCCCACCTCTGCAAGGGAATAGGGTAGGAGTGTTTTCATATCTTTTCTTTTGAGCCATGCTTTTTCTTTTATAATTTTGTAACATTTACTTTTTATCTTTTTTGTGATTCTTTTTTTTATATTGTTGTCCTCCGTCACTGTGTCCATTCATGTAGATTTTCCATACTTTTCTGTATTCATCACATTCATCATTTCTTATAGCACAGTCATGTTCTGTTATATTTGTGTACCATAATTTATTTAGGCATTCACTAATCAATGGGCATCTACTTTTTTTTTCAATTCTTGGCTGTCACAAAAAGTACTGATATAACTATTTTGGTATATATGAAGAATTTCTTCTTTTCAAGGCCTCTTGAAGACTACTAATGGAATGTCCAGTAAAAAGGGTAATCATTTTTAGTCATTTTATTTGTATAATTTCAAAATTGCTTTCCAGAAGACAAAGTTGCTTTCTGACATTGACTATTCCCATCTTTTGTCATGTTTGCCAGTTTGCAGGTATAGAAACCTTAAGGTTGTTTTGATGTGCATTTTTCTTATTATTAGTCATGTGAGCCATAGTTGTTAATGCTTCACACTTCTTCTTTTGGGTACTGTTTGTTCACATTTTTGACTACTTATCTATTTATAAGTGGCTTTTGGTTTTATACACACACACACACATACACAGATATGCACACATATGTGTATATATATATTATATATGTATATGTATAGATGTATATATATATATAATATATGTATATGTATATGATATGTATATATATGCACATATGTGTATATATAATATATATGTATATGTATAGATGTGTGTGTATATATATACACGCACATACACTTAAGGGCAGCTAGGTGGCACAGTGAATAGAGTGCTGGTCCTGGAGTCAGGAAGACTCCTCTTTGTGAGTTCAAATCCGGCCTCAGACACTTACTAGCTGTGTGACCCTGGGCAAGTCACTTAACCCTGTTTGCCTCAGTTTCCTCATCTGTAAAATGAGTTGGAGAAGGAAGTAGCAAACCACTCCAATATCTTTGCCAAGAAATCCCCAAATGGGGTCACGAAGAGTTGGATACAACTGAAAATGAGTGAAAACATATACATAAATATAAAAACATATTTTACATAGTAAATATATTTGTGTAAAGATATTTATATGTGTATGTATATATGCGCATGTTTGTATTTTGGTCACATATGTGTGTGTGTTAATTATTTTTATCTCAGGCACCAAACCTTTATCTGACAAATTTAAAACAAATATTTTTTTCCTCCTTTCAAGTGCTTTCCTTTTTATCCTAGGTGCATTTATTTTGTTTGTGCAGAAATATTTTAGTTTCACGAAATCAAAGTTATCTATTTTACCTTTTGTAATTGCTTCTGTCTCTTATTTGGTCAAGAATATATCTCTTACTCATTGCTGAGAATTATATGATCTGTCTCTTATCTAATTTTTTATGATATAACATTTAATATTAAGGTCATGTATCCATTTAGAATGTATTATAGAATATGGTAAAATGTATTGTTCTAAACCTAATTTCCATCAGACTGCTTTCCATTTTCCTGGCAGTTCTATCAAGTAGAGAGTTTATTCTTAAGGAATTTGTGTTTTTGTCTTTATGAAACACTGTCTTACTGAGTTCCATTTTTTTCTGATTCTCCTTTGTCTGGTCTCTTCCACTGATCTACCTTTTTTTTTTTTTTAACCATTATTAGTTTGAAGTCTAGAGGTGTTCTTCCCCTTTTGTCCCTACCTCTTTTTGTTATTTCATTTTATGTTGCACATGCTTGATTTTTCCAGGTGGATTTTGTTATTATTTTATCAAGTTCTGTAAAGTATCCCTTTGATAATTTAATTAGTATAGCATTAAAAGTATAGATTAACCTTCATGGTGTTGTCATTTTTATTATATTGGCTTGAACCAACCATGAACACTAAATATTCCTCCAAGTATTTAAGTTATTTATTTCTTTAAGGTATACTTTGTAATTGAATCTATACAATTTTTTGTGTGTTTTGGCAGATTTGGGCAGATAAAACAAGATGTTTTATGCATTTTATGCATTTTTGTAGTTACTTGGAATGGGATTTCCCTTTCTCTTATTGATTCTTGGATTTTGTTGTTATTATGTAGAAATGCTGTAGATTTTGAAGGTTTATTTTGTAGCCTTCAATTTTGTTATTAATTGTGTCATTTTGTATCTTTGCTAATTCCGTAGGATTTTCTTAATAAACCATTATGTTTTCAACAAAAAAAAGATAATTTTATCTCCTTTTTATTTATCTTTATGTCTTTAATTTCTTTTTCTTGCCTTATTACTGTGGCTAGCATTCCAAGAACTATATAAAATAATAGTTAGGACAGTGCACATTCTTGCTTTGCTCTCATAATTACTGGTAAAATTTCCAGTTTATTCCCATTGCATGTGATGCTTGCTTTTAGTTTTAGATAGATAGTTTTTATTATACTAGAAATAGGTTCCTCTGTTTCTGTACTTTGTAGAGTTTTTAGCATAAATAAGTATTGTACTTTTTGAAAAGCTGTTTGCACATCTTGAGATAATTCTGTGGTCTGGGATGTTTTTGTTTTTTATAGGATTTTTATGTTAATTATTTATTATGATTAATTGTCAGCTGTTTTTCCAAATGGTGACCCATTCTTGCATCCGTGGTATAAATCCAACTTAGTCATGATGAATGATTTCTTGAATGAGTTACTGTGGTATGTTGTGATATTAATTTTTTTAATATGAGTTGGATTATTAATTTATAATTTTATTATGTTATTCAATTTTTTCTTCTGTGGGAATGCATCTTTAAAATTATAAGGTAAGTTAATGAAAGAAGATGGATTCAATTTGCTAAAATATGATATAAACATTATTATTTCAGAGAAACAGAGTACTTAAAGAGATAAATCCATAGTATAATTCAAATTTGATAATCTATTTAAAAATTTCCTTTCTAGCCCTCTATTGGTCTGGAAGGCCACGTAATGTTGCACATAATGAAGAGCTGGAGAATAAATTTAATATGCTTGAGAGAAAAGCTTATATTCAGGATGAGCCTAAAGACTTGTTTGCCGGAGTAAGAATTTGTAATCTGTCTAAGGTAATGTTTCATAGGTCTCCTTTCAAAAGCATGAGGAGTACCACCATGGCTTAGATAAGCAGTTCTTAAATGTTTGAAACCGCTTACCTTCTTAATAATTTTTTCAGGACCCCAAAGAAATTTAGTTTATGTGGGTATAATTACAAATATTTACTATATATGAAATTAAAACTAATGAAGTTTTAAAATATTTATTTATTAATCTACTTACAAATAATAACAAACCCATCACTTATTAACACAAATAACATCTTTTGGGAAAAATGACTATTTTTAAAACAAAAAAAATTTATGAGAATAATAGCATTACATGTTTTGGCTAATCTCTTTAATGTGTGGTTTAATAAAAGATAGCTAAAATTCCCTTATCTACTTCTGCCTTCAGTCTGTTTTGATATATTGTTTTAGTTGAAATGTATAAAGAAAATCTGGCCTCACACAATATATATTTCAAAAAGGGAGTACTTCAGTAGGCATATAATATTTTAGTAGTATTATGAAAATAGCTTTGACCTTGAGAACCTCCTGAAGGGGTCTTGGGGACCCCTAGGGATCCTGGGACCACACTTTAAGAACTGCAAGATTAGACCAGTGGCCATAAGAAAGATTTTGTGGGAGATAATAATAACAGTTCCTCTCTATTACATAATATTTGAAGTTTGGTTATATAAACTAAACATTCTTGATTTCTCTTTAATAATATAAATCAAAATTAATGGACGGCAATTTCAACTGGATGGGGCAGTTGAAAGCACTGTTAAAAAATACAATAGTCAAGAAGGAGCTAGAGTTCACATTAAAATCCCAGACTATTTTCCATGAGCGTTTTCTCTTTGTAAAATATAGGACTTGGCAACTAGCAGCTGACAAATTGCATGTGACTTTTTTTGTGGTCTATTTAGATCACTCTGCATTTGGTTGTGAGGTTTTTATGCCCTAATACATTGTCAGTTTTTGTATAGGTGCTGAGAAAGAGGTATATTCCTTTCTATTCCCATTCAAATTTCTCCAGAAATCTATGATATCTAACTTTTCTAAAATTCTATCCATCTTCTTATTACTTTCTAGTTTATTTTTTGGTTAGAATTATCTGGTTCTGAGAGGGGAAGTTTGAGGTCCCCCACTGGTGTAGTTTTGTTGTCTATTTCCTCCTGTAACTCATTTAACTTTTCCTTTAAGGATTTGGATGCTATACCATTTGGTGCATATGTGTTTAGTAATGATATTATTTCATTGTCTATGGTGCCTTTTAGCAGGATGTAGTTTCCTTCCTTATCTCTTTTGATTAGATCTATTTTTGCTTTTGCTTTGCCTGAGATCAGGATTGCTATCCCTGCTTTTTTTACTTCAGCTGAAGCATAATATATTCTGCTCCAGCCTTTTACCTTTATCCTGTGTGTGTTGCTCTTTTTCAAATGTGTTTCCTGTAAACAACCTATCATAGGATTATGGTTTTTAATCCATTCTGCTATCTGCTTCCATTTTATGAGAGAGTTCATCCCATTCACATTCACAGTTATGATTATTATCTGTGTCTTTCTCTTCATCATTCCCCCCACCCCGTTTATAGCTTTTCTTTCTCCTTTCTCCTTTTCCCTCCTCACTAGTGTTTTGCTTTTGACCACGGCCTCCCTCAGTCCTGCTTCCCTTCTATTGGCCCCTTCTCTTCTCTTCCCCTTTACCCTTACTACTTCTTCCCTCCCTTCTATCCCCCCTCTCTTTTCTTTCCCCTTTTCCCTCCTACTGCCTATAGGGCATGTTAGATTTCTATACCTAACTGATTATGTTATTCCATTCTTGAGTCAAATCTAATGAGACTAAGGTTCAAACAATGCTCATCTCCCTCCCTTCTTTTGCTCTGCTGTAGTAGGTTTTTGTGCCTTTTTCTATAATGTAATTTACCCTTGTCCGCCTCCTCTTTTCCTTTTCTCTCAGTACATTTTCTTAGATTAGATTAATCTACCTACTTGGATTCATGTAACCCACTTCATTAGATTTTTTTTTATCATTACATCAAAGTCAACTTATATCCACCCCCTTTACACATATATCCCTTTAACATGGTATAATAACAATACAGTTCTCAAGAGTTATAAGTGTCACCTTCCCTTGTAGGGATGTAAACAGTTTGCCCTTATTAACAACATGTATCTTTCTGTCCTATTTACCTTTTTATGTCTCTCTTGAGTCTTGTATTTGAAGGTCAAATTGAGCTCTGGTCTTTTTATCAGGAAGGTTTGGAAGTCCCCTATTTTGTGAATATCCATCTCTTCCCCTGAAAGATCATGCTCATTTTCAGTGGGTAGTTGACCCTTGGTTGTAATCCAAACTCCTTTGCCTTACAGAATATCATATTCCACACCCTATGGACTTTTATGTAGAAGCTGCAAGGTCCTGTATAATCCTGACTGTGGTTCCATGATGTTTAAATTGTTTCTTTCTGGCTGCTTGCAGTATTTTCTCTTTGACTTGGTAATTTTAGAATTTGGCTACTATATTCCTCGACGTTTTCAATTTGGGATCTCTTTCAGGAGGTGATAGATGGATTCTTTCTACGGCTATTTTACCCTCTGGTTCTAGGACCTCAGGGCAGTTTTCCTTTGATTTCCTGAAGGATACTGTCCAGGCTTTTTTTTCATCATGATTTTCAGGTAGACCAATAATTTTTAAGTGTCTCTCCTGGATCAATTTTCCAGGTCAGTTGTTTTACCAATGAGGTGTGTTACGTTTTCATGTATTTTTTCATTCTTTTGTTTCTATTTGACTGATTCTTGTTCTCTCATAGAGTCATTAGTTTCCATTTGCACAATTCTAATTTTTAACAAGTTGTTTTCTTCGATTAGATTTTGTACCTCCTTCCCCATTTGGCCAATTGTATTTTTTAGAGATTTGTTTTCTTCAGTGTACTTTTTTTCAGTTAGCCAATTGTATTTTTTAAAAACTTGTTTTCTACAGTTAATTTTTGTCCTTTTCTAAGCTATTGACTCTCTCTTGCATACCTCTTATTTCTTTTCCCATTTTTTCTTCTGTCTCTCTCATTTAACTTTTAAAATCCTTCTTGAGCTCTTCTAAGGAGACTTTTTGTGCTTCATACCAGTCATATTCCCTTTTGAAGTTCCAGACGTGGGTTTGTTGACAATGTTGTAATCTTCAGAATTTCTGCCTTGATCTTCATTGTTCTCATAATGTGAATCTATGGTACATTTCTTTTTTGCTCGTGGTGTTTGCTTATTTCCTGGCCTTTAAAGATATTGAGCTCTCTCCTGCTGGGAAGCAGAGGGCACTGACCCAAGCTTCTTGTGTTGGGAGCCTACAGCCTGGTCACTGACTTTGTGTGCTGAGGCCTCCAATGTTGGCAGTTGGAGGCTGTAGGATTCTGGCAGCTTACCTGGTGTTGGACTGGAATCAGCAACACTGGAACCCTAGGGGTAGGATTGGGTAGTCTGGCCCCTGGAGGTTGCCTGATTTTCCTTTCCTTTCACTTTCTTCAGTTCCTTTCAGATGGATGTTGCAGGATGTTTATCTGCCTGGGGCCCCTTGGAGCATTTCACAGAGTTTTGCTGAGGCACTGGGAGACTACTGTAGAATGCCAAGGCACTTGGTGGTTTTCTGAACTGATTTCCACCGGTTTCCCTGCCCTCACTGAGGCACTTGGGGGTCTAGGTGTTGGTGTTTGTCTGCTCCACCACCCTGGTTTCAGTATCTTCTCCTAATATGCTGAGGTGGGGCTTTTCGCTAGTTTCCTGGGATACCTCCCATTCTGTACTGCTCCTCTTCCCCCAGGGCAAGTGGGGCCTTTCCCGTTAATCCTTCAAGCTACCTGGGCTACTGGATTGCTGCATCCCATCTTTCTTTTGGTTCAGCTGTTCCAGGGTTTTTCCTGGGGTGATATTTTCTAGACTTTCAGAGGTTGATAAGGCAGGGTAAGAGTGACTTACTTCTTACCCAATTCTAATTTTTGAGGAATTATTTTCTTCAGTGAGCTTTAGTATCTCTTTTTCCATTTGGCCAATTCTATTTTTTAAGGAGTTGTTTTCTTCAGTTCTTTTATTTTTTGTTGTTATTGTTGTAATTTTTGCATATCTTTTTCCATTTCACAATTCTACTTTTTGAAGAGTTTTTCTTTTCAATGGATTTTTGTGCCTCTTTTGCCATTTGGTCTATTTTTAAGGTTTTATTTTTGTCAGTATTTTTTGTGCTTCCTTTATCAAACTGTTGACTTTTTTTCATGATTTTCTTGTGTCATTCTCATTTCTTTTCCCAATATTTCTTCTCTCTCTCTTATTTGAGTTTTGAAATCCTTTTTGAGCTCTTCCATGAGTTCTTTTTGGGACCAAGACCCGATCACATTTTTCTTTGAGGATCTACAAGTAGTTGTTTTGATATTGTTTTCCTCATCTGAGTTCCTGTTTTGTTATCCGTCACCATAGTCACTTTCTATCATCAGGTTGGTTTTTTTGTTTTGTTTTGTTTTATTTTGTTTTTGCTTATTTTTCCAGCCTATTTCTTGACTTTTAACTTTATGTTGAAGTTGGATTCTGCTTCTAGAGTGGAGGGGGCACTGTCTGAAGCTTCAGGTTTTTCATTCTCTTGTTTTAAGAGCTATTTCTGGGGGTCTGCAAGTTTTCAGTTCTTCTGAAGTGGTATGATCTAAGGGAGATGTGGTCTGTACTCCTAGCCTGTATTCTGGTCTGAATAACCGCAAGCACTGTTTTCCACCCTGGAACTCTAACCAGCGTCCCTGCTCCTCTGCAGATGAGAGTGTTAGTGTACTAGAGTGTTAGTATACTAGTGTTCCTTCTCGCCCTGAGACTGTGACCTGGTTCCCTGTATGGGCAATGCAACAGAGTCTTATACACAGTACCAAGCATGGGGCCTCACTGTATTGGCTTACACAGAGGCTCAGGGACTTGCTCCTGGCTTGCAAGGCATGGTATGCACTGGACTGTGATCCCCTCTTACCCCAGTGAGATATTCCTTTCCTTCCAATCTTCTAAGTT